TTCACAGAGTCTGCAACTCAAGCCCAAATCTGGGGAGAGTGTTTCACGGAGAACCAAGTGGCTGTTCAGGAATGTGGCCACTTTCTACCACCCCCAGCCCTTCTGTCTCACCTGCCCAGGGACTCCTTATCCAGGTGAGAACCACCTTAAACTCAGCCTCAGGCACCCCTTTCAATGATATCTTCAACATGTGTGGCTCAACACTAACCCTAAGGAGCAGCAAGCATGAACTATTATAGTATCCTATTCAACAAGAACCAGCAAAATCATTATGAAGCATAGGCAGTAAGAAAAAAATGACCTGGCCACAAGGAAGTTAAGTATATAAACAGGGGAGAGACTTCTAAAAGCTGGAGAAATCCCTGTGTCTAATGTGAAGTAAAAATTCTGGTAGCCTATCCTTTATCAGGGGTCAGATGGAAATGCCACTGTCCCAAGACAGCAGTGGAGAGAGACAAGTCAGCACATGAAATATCAGGGTCCACTGCACCTGACTCAGAGTCAGGACGCTGCACTGGGCTCTCTCTGCAACCCCAAGGGCAGGGTAGAATTCCAGAAACAGCCCAGGCCCTGGCATGCCAGGCATTGTGTGTACGAGCCTAGGTGACTAGTGGCTGGAGGAAGAAGGGCAAGGACTGAGGCAGTGGTGATGGGTGAAACCCCGGACACTTGTCAGGCCAGGACTGAATGATTAAGTAGAAATGCACTCAGGAGAGACGGAGGCACCAACTATCCCTTGGCTGCCAAAGGCCATGCTGCAGGCAATTCTGTTGAGTGGTCATTTGTAGCAGACACCCGAGAGGATGATGTCAAGGCTTAAAAGATACGCCATGTCCACACCTGTAATCCCAGCACTCAGGAGGCTGAGGCAGGAGGAGTGACAGTTTGAAGCCAGCCTGGGCCACATAGTTGAGACCCTGTCTAAAAAAGATACACTGCTACCATAAGCAGTCATCCTGCTGATGGCAAAGGGAACCTTTTAAGAGCCTCCAGGGTCAATGGATGTATCTGACCACCAGATGTTACAAGTTTCTACATTTGAAGAGTCAAAAAAAAAGTCCTACAAAAAAAAAAAAGCAGATAAACTAGGGCTAGGCAGAGATTATATGGCTTAGGCCATTACACTGAACTAAGTTACAGAGGCTGACAGAGTCCCAACAATGTCCCACATACCACCCTATGTGTGCTCTGTCATGTGGGCCCATAGTAGAATTAAGTCTGTTATACCTCTAACCTACAGGGCCCACAGAGACCTCAAGGGGAAACAAAGGGACAGAGTATTGTGAGCTAGCCCTGCATTTGGGAAAATGTATCAAGTCCTGGTAAAGCCAAGGCTACCCAGAATCCTGAGGAACTGGCACATGGTTTGATATGGACCCCATCACAGCACAACTAGTAAACAAAAGGCTATGGAGCAGCCACAGGAGAGAGACAATTTTTGAACACACTGAAGCAAGTGGTAACTACCAATTGACCAACAATCCCAGAGTACAGCTCAACAAAAGCGGTGGTGGGAGGATTACTCACAGACAGGTAAACACACAGACAGACACACAGGCACATGGTTCCTCTGACACAAGCGAGAAGAGAGGGTGGGTGGTACAATGAGGGAGGTGACCCCGCTGCGTTAGCTCACACTCACATCCTCCATTCTCCCTATGGAATCAGAAGCACAGTTATCAGTCTAAACACCCACCTGAACAGCAGGCACAGTAGAAGTGAGGTGGTGTCTTGAGCACAAAGACACCACCTCAACCAGTGCTCAACACTGTCTTCTCCACTATGGAAAGTAAGAGTAAGAACCAAACAGAGGCAAAGAAGGCGAGTGACAGGAAAAGAAGCATGTGGAGGTGACTGGCTGCTCGAATTTTCAAAGAGAAGTTATTGCATGAGAGTGTTCTAAATTAGGAGAGAGGAAAGTAGATGGATAATTGACTAATTAAAGATATAAACAGCTGGGTGCTTGTGGCTCATGCCTATAATCCTACCTACTCAGGAGGCAGAGATGAGAAGGATCACAATTTGAAGCCAGCCTGGGCAAACAGTTTGCGAGACCCTATCTTAGAAAAACAACCCTTCACAAAAAAGGGTTGATGGGGTGGCTCAAGGTGTAGTCCCTGAGTTCAAGCCCCAGTTCCACAAAAAAAATAAAATAAAGATATAAATATTCTTCATAGGAATACAACAAACAATGATTTTTCTTTTTTTTGGCACTACTGGGGTTTGAACTCATGGCCTCATGCTTGCTAGGCATGTTCTCTACCAATTGAGCCAGCCTGCCAGCTCTGTAACAAACAACAAAAGGCAGACAAGGCCACAAGACACAAAGCACTGGCACAGGGCGAGTGGAAGTCAACTCTTTGGTACAGTCCCACAAAACTGAAAATGGCCATCCTACTTCTCAAATACTCCACTTCTGGGAAAACTCACACAGGTTTACAAGAAGATATTTGGCAAGGGTGTTCACTGCAGCATTATATTTGTAGAAAAGAACTTGAAAATAATTTAATGCTCATCAGGCAGTGCAAGGGTGATCCAGAGTTACAGCTGCTGTGATGCCGTCGACCTGAGAGCAATTAACTAGATCCATTGACAACTTGTAAAATTACTCCCAAGAGAAAACTATCCATGCATATGTATGTCACATTATTCATGCACATGGATGTGTTACTACAAAATACTAAAAAGACTGGAATCTGGTCCAGATAGGAGGGCATAACCGCACCCACCTCTGGCTTCCAGTGAATACAGCTCTACAAATGGAATGGAATACACAGAACAGCTACTTGAGGTCTCTGAAACAAACAGCAGCATGCAGACAAGAGTAGAACAGTCCCCTGGCGTGGGCTCCCAGGAGCCCCAAGCCCTGCAGCAGCAATGTCTACACAGGCAACACAGGAGAAGGTTCAGGCTCAGGCTCAAGGACAGCAGGGGGTCTACTGGCAGCCCCCCGACAGTGGGAGCCCGGGCACCTCAGACTGCCAGAAAGCATTCACCCTTCCCCACCCAGAGGGGTCTGTGAGCCTCTGAACTCCCCTGTTGGATGGGCAGAGTGGAAGCAGCAGCAGCAGCAGCAGCCATGACACTGTAGGGCAACCCAGCATTCCACATCTGGGCTGAAAAACAGAGCCCCAGGGAACTACTGAGTACTAGGGATACTGTAGAAAGTTAGGAGCTTGGCAAAGTGACCCCAGAGAGCTGTCTGTAAACTCCCGGCCTCATCCCAAAATGTGTAGAGATCCTCATAAATAGCACCTATAGGTCTCAGAACTGAAATGAAGGACCATCATTCAGGCTTCACATGGGCCCGAGTGACACACATAAGACCTGTGAGGCAGATCGAAGAGTGGGAGAATGACCAAAATAAAGGCATTTTGGACACAGGATTGACACTAAAATACAACACAGTTAAGAATTTGCTGGGACTCGTGACCCAAACCCAACTGGGCTGATTGCATTTTCCAAAGGGTTTAAACGAGATCCGGCTTCTCATAACACAGGGTCCCAAATGCCCAGGATGTACCCCAAACTACTTGGTATACAAAGAAATAAGAAATCTCAACTCATATGGAAAAAGACGTTTAAGAGACACCAAGGCCAGGATAACATAGATGCTGGAAGTTATCTGGTAGATGGCAAAGAGACTATTATACCAAAATAATAACAAAAACCCAGTGCTCCAATAAGTAAAATCCCACACTCAGAGTGAATGGTGTGACAGGAACAACCCTCTGATGGCCCCAAAATTTCTTGGCCTGGGGCTGTATATCAGTGATAGAGCACCTGCCTAGCAAGAGGCTCTGGATTCCATTCCCAGCACTGCCAAATAAAAAGAAAAAAAAATCCTGCCCTAATCCCAGAAACTATAAATACATCGTACCCTGATTATGTTAAATTATTTGGCAAAGGGGCAAAGGTGATTCTGCAGATGAAATTAAAGTTGCTAATCAGCAGTCTCTGAGTTGATTAAAATGGGTTTACACAGGGATCCCTAAACACATGAGCCCATAAAAAGCAGGGTGTCATCTTGCTGGCAAAAAAGAGGAAATCTGAGAGACTCCAAGTATAAGGAGGACTCAGTAAGCACTGTGGCTTCAACGTGGGGGCTGTGTGAGAGGGCACACAATCAACCCTGCATGGGATTCAGACAGCAACCTGAAAGTACATGGAAGGAGATTCTTCCTGAGAGCCTCAGAACAAGCCCAGGTGATTCTTGCCTTGTGAGAACCCAAGCAGGGAACCCAGTCAAGCCCACTCAGATTTCTGACCCACAGAACTGTAAGATAATAAGTAGGTGTTATCTTAGCCACTAAGTGTCATAACTTGTTATCCAATAAAAAGAAATAAATGCAGACTTTGGCAGCTGGAAGTAGGGTACTACCATCACAAATACTTACTGAGGTCCATGAGACCACTAATAATGTAACCTGACACACAGGCATGTATTTGGGACTCATCGATTGCACCAAGGTGAGAACACTTTTTTAAATTTTTTCTTTTTTAAGGTTTTCTTTTTTTTTTTGAGACTGAGTCTTGCTTTGTAGCCCAGGCTAGCCTCAAACCTGCAATCTTCCTGCCTCAGTTTCCCAAGTGCTGAAATAACATAGAAGTGCATGTACCACCACAGTCAGTACTTTTTTTTTTTTTTCACAGTACTGGGGATAGAGTCAGGGCCTCAAGTGCTCACTTGAGCTGCACCCTCAGTCTATTTTTCTAAACTACTACTTCACCCAATGGTCAGGAGGCTGAGGCAGGAGGATCATAAGTTCAAGGCCAGTCTGAACTGATAGTAAGTCCAGGCCAGCCCAGGCTTACAGCAAAACCCTATCTCAAATAAAATAAACTTGAGAGACAGTGCACCCTCTTAATACACGAGGGAATCTGTTTCCTCCATTTCCTAGAGCTACTGACAAGTGAACTGTTCACCTGAGGAGAAGCCTAGTGAGAATATTCTAAGAACCATGTAAACTGACAGGGACTGTGAGTTGTTAACCACATACACTTTGAGTTTGGTGCACTGTCCAGGCTTCAAGTCCCCCAGCAGGTGTAACATGGTGTCCAAGAGCACGCAGCTGGAATTAACCAAGAACTCACGACCACAGGCTATGGCAGCAACATCTGCAATAGACACGAAACAAAGTGTCACGGTCATGGGAGCTTCAAGACAGTACATGTTGCTGGTTTTCTCCTAACAGACCTAAGGAAAACACAGATAAAAGATGAGGCATTTTATTTTTTTTTTTTTCATTTTTCTTTTATTATTCATATGTGCATACAAGGCTTGGTTTATTTCTCCCCCCTGCCCCCACCCCCTCCCTTACCACCCACTCCACCCCCTCCCGCTCCCCCCCTCAATACCCAGCAGAAACTATTTTGCCCTTATCTCTAATTTTGTTGTAGAGAGAGTATAAGCAATAATAGGAAGGAACAAGGGGTTTTGCTGGTTGAGATAAAGATAGCTATACAGGGCATTGACTCACATTGATTTCCTGTGCGTGGGTGTTACCTTCTAGGTTAATTCTTTTTGGTCTAACCTTTTCTCTAGTTCCTGGTCCCCTTTTCCTATTGGCCTCAGTTGCTTTAAGGTATCTGCTTTAGTTTCTCTGCATTAAGGGCAACAAATGCTAGCTAGTTTTTAGGTGTCTTACCTCTCACCCCTCCCTTGTGTGCTCTCGCTTTTATCATGTGCTCATAGTCCAATCCCCTTGTTGTGTTTGCCCTTGATCTAATGTCCACATATGAGGGAGAACATACGATTTTTGGTCTTTTGAGCCAGGCTAACCTCACTCAGAATGATGTTCTCCAATTCCATCCATTTACCAGCGAATGATAACATTTCGTTCTTCTTCATGGCTGCAAAAATTCCATTGTGTATAGATACCACATTTTCTTAATCCATTCGTCAGTGTGGGGCATCTTGGCTGTTTCCATAACTTGGCTATTGTGAATAGTGCCGCAATAAACATGGATGTGCAGGTGCCTCTGGAGTAACAGTCTTTTGGGTATATCCCCAAGAGTGGTATTGCTGGATCAAATGGTAGATCGATGTCCAGCTTTTTAAGTAGCCTCCAAATTTTTTTCCAGAGTGGTTGTACTAGTCTACATTCCCACCAACAGTGTAAGAGGGTTCCTTTTTCCCCGCATCCTCGCCAACACCTGTTGTTGGTGGTGTTGCTGATGATGGCTATTCTAACAGGGGTGAGGTGGAATCTTAGTGTGGTTTTAATTTGCATTTCCTTTATTGCTAGAGATGGTGAGCATTTTTCATGTGTTTTCTGGCCATTTGAATTTCTTCTTTTGAGAAAGTTCTGTTTAGTTCACATGCCCATTTCTTTATTGGTTCATTAGTTTTGGGAGAATTTATTTAAGTTCCCTGTATATTCTGGTTATCAGTCCTTTGTCTGATGTAATTGGCAAATATTTTCTCCCACTCTGTGGGTGTTCTCTTCAGTTTAGAGACCATTTCTTTTGATGAACAGAAGCTTTTTAGTTTTATGAGGTCCCATTTATCTATGCTATCTCTTAGTTGCTGTGCTGCTGGGGTTTCATTGAGAAAGTTCTTACCTATACCTACTAACTCCAGAGTATTTCCTACTCTTTCTTGTATCAACTTAAGAGTTTGGGGTCTGATATTAAGATCCTTGATCCATTTTGAGTTAATCTTGGTATAGGGTGATATACATGGATCTAGTTTCAGTTTTTTGCAGACTGCTAACCAGTTTTCCCAGCAGTTTTTGTTGAAGAGGCTGCTATTTCTCCATCGTATATTTTTAGCTCCTTTGTCAAAGATAAGTTGCTCATAGTTGTGTGGCTTCATATCTGGATCCTCTATTCTGTTCCACTGGTCTTCATGTCTGTTTTTGTGCCAGTACCATGCTGTTTTTATTGTTATTGCTTTGTAATATAGTTTGAAGTCAGGTATTGGTAATACCTCCTGCATTGTTCTTTTGACTGAGTATTGCCTTGGCTATTCGTGGCCTCTTTGTTTTTCCATATAAATTTAACAGTAGATTTTTCAATCTCTTTGATGAATGTCATTGGAATTTTGATGGGAATTGCATTAAACATGTAGATTACTTTGGGGAGTAAAGATGAGGCATTTTAATGGCAACACTCATCTGCCATCCCAGAACAAAGACCTGACAACCACAAGAGCTATTAAAGCAGGAGGTAATATCCCTGTGCTACAGGACAGAGCACTGGAGCACTGGGGTCCAAGCTGCCTGCAGCCCCATGCTCCATAGCACCATACCAACAGTCATCTAGCCCAAGCCAAAGGCGGAACTGAAACTGAAATCACACGGGGTCAGAAAGAAGTAATAAGGATGGAGGTGTGGTTCAAGCAGAAGAGCACCTGCTTTGCAAGCATAATGCCCTGAGTTCAAGCCCCAGTCTCACCAAAGGAAAAAGAGAGAGAGAATATGAAAACTGATTCTAAAAAGACTTCTTTTTTAAATGCTGTGTCCTATTGTGATCAGCAAGTATGCCCCTTCATGCATGGGGCACAACAAACCAGCATGGAGAGCACAGTGAGTCATCACACAGTACCCAGCGGATGATGCTAAAGCAGGACAAATCAGGGAAACTGAGGCATGGGAAACAGCATCCAGGAATTTACAAATAAGCATTATATTAATGAATAGCTCGATAAAAAACATACATTGCGTTCTTTGCTTTAAGTCTTACACCTCCTCTAACAAGCTGCAACATTTAGTAAAAAGGAAAAGAAAAAAAAAGAGTAGGGGAGCAGCTCTCTCCTGACCTTGCCTGCTTGCCCAAAAGTAATTAGTGCACTCTGAGAACTGAGCAGGGATATCTTAAAGAAAGACACTTACCCTGGGAAAGAACTCTTGGGAAAATGACTCCTCTGGGCACAAAAAGTGTCTACACAGAAAAGTACCTATTGCAAGGATGGACAGCTATGCTGAAGGTAGCATCTGGAAGGACCCAGCCTTTGTTTAAAGGAATCTAATGTTACAGTGATCCAAATTTAATAAGTGGACCGACCTTTGACTCTTTGGGCCTGACTGGTAAGACAGTGTTAACAGCAAAAAAAACTAATTATACCGAGTGTCAGGACAAAGGGGAGCACTTTTCCTAAGGCAAATTTGAGCCAAACCCCAATGTACTTTTTCTCCATTAAGCACCCTGAAGTTAGTGCACTCATTGCACCCACACCCATGTCTGGGCTGTGTGCTCTGTTTCTGTCCTTTCTTTGCCGTGCTTTCCTAATAAACTTGTTGGTCTCTACCTCGATGTGCCCTAACATTCTTTTTGTGCAACAACATCAACAACTCGGTACCCAAGGGCCAGGTGGAGGCCTCCTACCTTTTGGAGACCTCTTCCCTGGAGTGTCACAGGTTTCAGTAACAGTGCTACAGCCAACACTGGCCCTACCATCATCACAAATACCTGTGAGAACATCATACCAAGAATATGGACATACCTGTCTTGAGACTCTTCTTCAGTTAGGTCTAACAATGATGCATGGCCCGCATCAAACTGGCCAAGGTGGCAAGGAGGCAGGCTTCCGGGAATCCACAATTAAGGCGATGTCTTATCTGTTCCTAGTGGATATCCTTTACCATTTTAAGGAAGTTTTCTATTTTTAGTTAGCTAAGAACTATCAAGAATGGAGGATAAGAGCTGGTAGAGAGGCTCAAGTGGTAGAGCACCTGGCTAGCGAGAGTAAGGACCTGAGTTCAAACCCCAGTACTGCCAAAATAAAAATTAAAAATATATATTATATATTCATATATAGATGAATGGAGGACAAATTTTATGCTTACTTGCTCTGTCTTTGATTAATTTGCTGTCTTACTACAGAATATAAAATGTCACTGGAAGTTCCAGATCTACTTTATGGTATCAGATCCCTCATATTCCTGCTTATTTTTGTTGATCTGGACTGAGATTAACAAAGTGAGGTACATTAAAATCTCCTAACCCTAATGGATTTTTCCTTTTTTACTTGACCTCAAAAATCGGTGCTGTGTCATTTGGTACATAATTTTGTGATCACTATAACTTCTTGAGGATAAGATCCCTCCTTGACACAAAGTTACCTTCTTTAATGAATTTTAACCTGAGCTCAAGTGTTAGAGTGCCTGCTTAGAAAGTGTGAGACTCTGAGTTCAAACCCTAGTACTACAAAATAAATAAATTAATTAATTAAAATAACCTTATTAGCTATATGAGGAAACAGTAACAGAGCAAAACACACATTGTCTCACAGCAGGCCACCAGTCACACAGCAAGTTTGCTGGCAAATTCAGTCCATATCCAGCACTGCAACAGCACACACCTGTACCTCACTGAATAGCAGCAACTACAGTGCAAAGTAACTAAATAAACTCCTGCACAGACAGCACCAGTGTGTCAGCCTATCAGAATTTACTCTCATTTATTTCCCACAATAGTTTGCGCTTTGGTTTCTAGTATTTAATATGTCTGGTATGCTCTTGGGTCCACTCAAGGCCTAAAGAGTTAGCTTTGGGGCCATCACAGATGAACATCACGATGAGAAACCACTTTATATCCACTCGGAAGGCTACAGTCAAAAAGACAGATAATATATGTCAGCAGGGATGTGGAAAAATTGGTGCCCTCATACATTCCTGGTGGGAATGTAAAATAGTGCAGCCACTGTTGTATTCCCAGTGATTTAGGAGGTGGAGATTGGGAGGACTGCAGTTTGAAGCCCGGGAGAGCAAAAAGTTAGCAAAACCCCGATCTCAACCAGTAAGCTGGGCATGGTGGTTGTGTGCCTGTCATCCCAGCTATGTGGAAAGTGTAAATGGGAAGATCACAGTCCAGGTCAGCCTGGGCAAAAACACAAGACCCTATCCAAAAAATAACCAAAGCGAAGAAAGCTAGAGGCATGGCACAAGTGGCAGAGTGCCTGCTTAGCAAGCGCAAAGCTGAGTTCAAACTTCAGCACCACCAAAAGAAATAAGTTAATAATAACAGGGACACAATGTTCAAGTTCATGTGACCACAACACTGCTGCTCATCCTGGACCTGTCTCTATAAACCTACTGTCTATGGCTCTATCACTGCACTCCATTATGTAGAAGAAACTGTTTAAGTTCTCTCTAACGTAAGTGTTCTGACCCTGT